GGTTAATAAGACCAGCTTGGCTTTAGCAAAACTGCCAGACTGGCTGGCCAGAAGGTCTGGATTTAAGTTCAGCAGCAGCACCAAAGGGTTATCTGCTCTTCAGTGCTTATGTCTACAGTTCTGAGTGGGTCTAGCCTTGTTTTAGTCTGACTTAGCCCTGCTTCCTTGCCAGACTTCCAGCTCTGGTCACTATCTCCTCTTGGCTTGATTCATGGTTTTTAACTCTGGCTCTAATCCCTAGGTCAGACCACCGATAGCCTAGTCTTGACAAATAGAGACCCACTCCTGCTAATTACTATGAATGAACAGATGCTTAGCTTGTCTCTAATACTTTGCTAGATTGGGTCATTAGGCAGTCAATTAACAATTTTCACAAATTACCTAGTGTGAATACAAATAATGAGTAAAAATTGGGTTGAAAACCTTCCTTGAAGTGCTAGCAAGACTTGTGATATTTTTACACATATTTTTATTTGTACAGCTGATGTACCTTTGGCTCTGACAGGATACTTAAACCAGTGTTTCTTAAACTTTTTGTCCCATGGCCCACGTAGGTCAATGCAAACCTTTCCACCTTTCTACTGGTTGCTAATGGAAATGCACCATTAATTACATAATTATGCCCGAGCCATTTTGCTAGTGCTGCAGCTAGGAAGAATGGTTTAATTTCAATTATTAAACAGATCAAGTGTTTTAACTTTTTAATGTTAATTTATCAAACTTCATTTTAAATAAAGTAAAATGTTAATTTGATGTTTCCTTTATTTATGGTGGGGTGGGGAACATTTTTTGTGTCAGGGACCACTGACCCACAGAAAAATCAGTTGGAGACCACACAAGTGAGAAGCAAAACAAACAAAGAAATCAACCCTCCAAAAAAACATCCAACCTTCACTGATGTGGCCCCCAGCTGAGACATTTTACTCCTCTGGCACTCCAGCCCCACCAAGGGAGGGGGAAGAACAGGGTTTCCCATAGACCAGATTTACTCATCTGGGGGTTTCAGGGTTAGTTGATTTTGTGGACCCCCCTAGGTTCTGTGGTTGGGACAAAAATGGGTTTCAATGTACAGGACAGGGCTGCCAGTGAAAGGAATGGGAATGCAGGATCTGGATGGGAGATGGAGTGCAAGTGGGAGTGAGGGTGTGAGGTCTGGATAGGAGGAAGGGTGCTGGAGCAGGCTGGGAGTAGGTGTCTGGCCAGGGGGAAGGGTGCAGGGGCAAGGGAAGGTGCAGTGTGTGACCAGGAGGGAGGGAGCAAGAGCAATGGTGGATGCAGAAGCAGAGTGGGGGTAGGTGTCTGGCCAGGAGGGAGGTGCAGGAGCAAGGAAGGATGCAGGAGCAGGCTGGAGGTAAAGTGTCTGGCCAGCTTGGAGGGTGCAGGAGCAGGTTAGGGGTGCTGGGGCTCAGCAGGGTAGTGGTGCATGACTGTGTAGTAACCATTTGATCTTTGTTTAGGGTCAAATTTTCCAATTTCCACCAAGTGGGCTGGTGATGTGGGCATCTGGGCATGAGGGGGTGGAGGGCACTTACTTGTCTTTGTGCCCCACACTGGTCCCAGGTACAGTCTCCGCTGCTCCCATTGGCCGGATTCTGTTGGAGTGCCAGCACCGGGTTCCTGTGGGGGTGGGGAGAGAAAGTCCTGAGTCTCACTGCGCTATCTGGTTCATGGGGAAGAAGTGCTCTCCCTCCGCTTCCCTCTAGTTGGGGGAACAGCAGCATACCTGCCGGGAATGGGAGAAGAGGAGCTCTTTTTCCCTATGACCTGGATCGTGCAGTGGGGCTTGGGGCTTTCTTTCACCTCCACAGGGGGAAGCCAGCACGGGTGCTGCAGCCTTGCCTTTTCCCGGTTGTGTAGGAGGAAATTCTGGTAATCTACAACATGGGTACGCTATTTTGGAAAAGTAAAAACAACAACCTGGACTCCATCTAGGCTGCCCTTGTCATCTTCCCGTGAGGGTGTTTTCCCGCTCTTAGCACTTTCTCCCTCTTTTGACATTTTGGGAGGGAAGCTAGATAGACACATGACCTTGGTTCTGCCCAGCAACGGCAGCTTATTTAAGGACTGCCTCTTTGGTTCTAAGGGGCTTCCCTTCTGAGTGGCAGAGTCCAGATCTACTTAGAAGTGTACGCCAGCACCACACAGACAGGTTTTGATTGCGGGAGGGTGAACTTACCTGCACACAAGGGGTATGCTACTAGCTGATGACATACACACAGCCATGATGGCATAGGGAGGAGAGTGGGCTGACAATCGCTGGAGCAAATCGGACACAGCCTGATTGTCCTTTACCCTGTGTTACCATCCAGAGATGGGATCTGGAGCTGTCTTACCAGTCTGAGGGTTCTCAAGCTGCAGGATATGGTAGTGATTTCATAATCCTCCACTTCCTTACCTGGGTCCTGTCCTGGGGAAGGGAACTCACCTGAGTCGCAGTCAGTGCATGTGTAACTCCCACACCTAGACTATGTCTACACTGGCGGGTTGTTGCGCCAGAAATATGCAAATGAGGCTAAGTGTGGAATATTGCCGAGCCTCATTTGCATAACTAATGAGCTGCCATTTTTGTGGAAGAGGCTCTTGCACCAGAAGGAGCTGTCTACACTGCCCCTTCTTGCGCAAGAAAAACCCTCTTGCACAATGCCGCTACGCTGATTATTTTCAGGAATAAAATAATAGGCTAGGCGCCAGCTAGCTTTTAGCTCAGCGGGTAGAGGCACCTATACTCTGCTTCAGAGGTCCCAGATTCAAATCTGCATGGTGGTGATTACACGCAGCCTTTTGTTACTTACTTTTAGTTATGGTGGTCCATGTTCTTTACCTTTAGGTTTACCTTTCATTTACTTTATTTGAACTGTTAAATAAATGCCCTGTTTGTTAGCACTCACATTCTATCCAGTTTTATTTCTCCTAGGGGGCTGAGACAAAACCCAATGATAGAAGTGGGTAGGAAGACGTTCCTTTAGACTGGTTTGCTTTTCAGCCAGGCATACCAGTCAACAATTCGAACACCAGCATTGGCTTCCCATTGAACCAGGGGGTGGGATGAAAGAAAACCCAGAGCCTCGCTGCGCGATCCGGCTCATGGGAAAGAAGTGCTGCCTGCATGCGGCTCTTCCCCCAGCCGGGAGAGGCAGAGGGGCAGCACTTCTTCTCCACAAGCTGGATTGCCTACCAAGACTCCAGGCTTTCTCTTCCCCCCTCAGGGGGAAGCTGATGATGGTGCTCCAAGTGTGCAGAGGGGAGGGCAGGGGAAGGCGGGAGGGTGAGGCTGCAGCACCCTCGAAGCTGCCCTTTGTGTGGCATCTCAGGTGGCTGGGGTGTGCTCAAGCCATGGACCCAAGAACTGCCATGAACAGTTGGTTTCAGCTGCGGCAGCTGCCACAACCTGACAGCCAGTGGTTTGTGGACCAGCACTGGTCCGTGGTCTGGCGGTTGGGAACCACTGATCTAGATGGTCAAACACTTGTCTCACCCTAGTTTGTGATTTGCTCTGGATCTTAAGCAGGAGATAGATGTTTGGACATGTAAAGGAAGAAGACTGTGTAGATGCTCAGAAACAGAAATTTAGACACTGAGAAAGCTTTTAATCTGACATTTTATGCTCTTGAGTTTAGGTGCTTATAGGGTTCAGAGAGAATTTTGTGGATAGCAGGGGAGCCAAAACTGGGTGCCTAAGTTTGTTTTTTGTGGATTCCACTGCAATTGTCTGAGGCCTGCTTGCAAATTAATTGGTGTTCGAAGAGAAGAAATATTTTCATAGAAACCTACCATGCTGACCACAATTGTGCTCCAAATTCCAGCAGGTTTCTAACAGTCTCTCAATACAGTTTGGAACTGAGTGTGAACAGACCATATTTCAGTCACATATGGATTAGCACTGCCAACCCAAAATGTTCAAAAATCTTGTCAGCTTCCCCCCCCCCCAACAAATCGTGAGATGGTCTTAGAAATCCTTAGACTCTAAAACAATAAAAAGCTGGGTTGACTTCTGGTTTCTGAGGTTTCACAGTACACCTGGTTCATGTTTTCAAGTTCTTCTTTGCAACTATGAGTGAAGATGCTACTCTTTTTTTTAAATGAAAGCTGAAATTATCCTGGAATCTCTTGAACCTTTAAGAACCCTCCTCCCCCACAGTTGTGAATTTGTGCTAGAGTAACAAGAGTTGCTGGCAATAAGTCTCAGAGGGGTAGCTATGCTAGTCTATATCTACAAAAATGAGGAGTCCTATGGCACCTTAAAGACTAAGGCTACGTCTACACTACAGGCTTTTTGCGTAAGACCAACTGTTCTTGCGCAAAACCTTGCAGAGCATCTACACTGCACATGCATTCTTTCACAAGTAAATTTACAGTACAGCATCAGAAAACAGGGCTTTTTCCAGAAGAGTTATTCCTCTCCCCACGAGAGCTCTTCCACAAGAAGGCAGTATAGACGGGCAATGGCCATCAGAGCTTTCTTGTGCAAAAGTGTCCATACTGCCATGAATGCTCTTGTGCAAAAGCACATGGCAGCGTGGACACACTCTTGTGGAAGATTTTTTTGCTCAAGAACCCTTCCTCAAAAGAGCTCTTGCGCAAGAAACCGCCAGTGTAGATGTAGCCTAACAGATTTATTTGGCTATAAACTTCCCTGGGAAAAAACCACTTCCTCAAAGCAATAGCAGCCAATAACTGGTTGACATAAGTTCAAAAATATTTACAGGGCCAAATAAGATCAGGGCCTTAAGGTAGGCTGAAAAGAAGGGACCCTATAGGAGTAAGAAGGAAATAAATTGATGCAACACCGGACCCCAGCTGGACAGAGGATGCGGGGCTCACTGGGAGGCACTGACTGCAGCGGGCAGGGTTAACACGGGGCTGCCGGGAGAGGTGCCACCAGCAGGGCGAGGAGTAAAGGGCACGTGCAAGGAAGCAGCGGCCCGTGTACGGCTCTGCGCTTGCGCAGCTCGGCGCAGCCAGGGCGAGAGCAAGCCAGAGCGCTGGGAGAGAGGGGCGTGGCAGCAGGAGTGCCGGACGGAAGGCACCAGAGACCGGAAACAAAGGAGCGGCGCTCTGGGCCGCTGGCGCTGCGTGTCGATGGTGCTGGAGGACCTGAGCGCTAGCTGCGGGCTGGGGCGGCGGCAGGATGCGGGCCCTCGGGTCAGTGCGCGGGCCGGGCAGGGACACAGCACGAGCAGTGCAGGGACACAGCCCGCTCGCGGGGCTCGGCAGGGCTGCT